TTCATTCCGTATCCGTTGATATTCGGAGCGGTAGTCGACTCGACGTGTTTGGTATGGGAGGAGAAGTGTGGAAAGACAGGTAACTGTTGGATATATGACCAGGATAAGTTTAGATACTACTTGCATGGCACGGCACTGGCATTTATGTGTGTTGGCTCACTCATGGATTTGGGTATTATTTTTAATGCCAAACGTATTAAAAACTTTTACGACGACTCCACCGATGATAATGAGGAACAGGAGACTAAAAATGGTGACAATACTAATATCCCATTAAATACTGTCCCAGACCTTACTGGTGCTGATCCTGATCATTATAGTGGTTATTATATCAATAATGAGGGCAAAAAAGAAGCCCAAGTTTGAGTTTATTTTAGGTACTAGTTAAGTTATCTAATATTGAATAGTTAATCTGTTAACATAACAACATTTTATAACATTATTCATTATTTATACACAATGACTAAAACGAGACATAATTATAAAAATATATTTTACACAAATTGTGCACAAAACAACTAAAATATATAATATCATACTTATAGCTAGCCATAGAATTCAATGACAATTTGACATGTTATTTATTAATATAATTTATTTTTGTAATAATTTTTAATACATTGTAATTAAATAAAGATCATAGATATACAAAAAAAATCTATTTATTTCTATTAATTTAATTTAATTCAAGTAACCTCAACCTTAAAATATTCATTCCCTATTGAACTAATATTGGTATTTGTTAATGTCAATTAATAATACATTATCAATATGCACATCTATGTACTGTATAATTGTCAATTATACATAGATGGGCATATTGATAATGTGCAAGTGCATATTGATAATGTGATAATGTGCAAGTTTGAGTGATGTTTATTTATATCATAATATTTGCTGTCACAAATCAATTGATATAAATTATGGCACAGATTCAAAAGTGATGTTGAAAAATGCTATAAAACTAATATTTTATTATTTAATCAGTCGCCCATGTATTATTTAATTAATAATTTAATAGACTATATTTAAGTTGAAAATTCATACATTTTTTAATGTAATGATTTTCATGTAGCATTCAGTGTAGTAAAACTAAAAACAATTATAATGCCTATAAATAATATACAATTAAACCAAGCCTCAAAGGGTAGTGAATTTGATAACCAGTCTGATTATGCCGATGATGATGAGCACCGGTATTCGTGTGGTGTGGGCTCGTGGAGGCCTAAATGGCTGCAAGTATTCGCCAGTCCCTTGTTTTTCGCCATAAACTTCGGACTGATAGGTATAATCCAGAGTATGTCGGGAACCTATTTGATCGCAACCATGAGTACACTCGAGAAAAGGTTTGCATTTGACTCGAAAATCGCGGGATTTATATTAATTGCCGATAATATCGTCGAATTAACAGTAAGTGTAAAAACTTGTCAAAATATATAATAATGTTATTATAAACTAATTATTTACTGTTAATACTGTTCAGTTCAATTAAGTTTGTAGTCAATTTACATACAATATTCTTATACTGTCCTAGCATATCACATAATGTAAATAATTACTACAGTAAAATCGGCATCTAAATTTTATTATCTTAAAAATAAAAAACTGTATTTAATTTAAGATTTTTTTTATTATAAAGATTGCAACTTGATATAATTATAAAATTAATTACTGATTAATGAAATTTAATTTTTATATTCAACCAAAAGTTGAGTCCAATCATCGGTTATTTAGGCAATCGGTACAGTAGGCCGCGTATGATAGCCATTGGTGGAGTCATACTATCCCTGGCATCGAAATACTTGCGTGACGGTATGAAGTATATACCAGGCCCGTGTGTGGATGAGATGCTGCTATTGAATGACAGGGTTAACTCAGCGTTATGTTGGGCAATACTCAATACACGCCGGTTAGTGTGACTTATCGACTGCGGCACTGGAAAGCACTCGACTGTATGGGCGGCTGTAGTGCTCCTATGGATCTGCAGTTTTGTTAGGGGACTGGGAATTACGGCATATTTCGTAATAGGCTTTCCTTATATTGACGATAATGTAAGCAAGAACAATTCGGCCCTTTATTTGAGCTTTCTATCTGCTCTGAGACTCGTGGGTCCGGCCGGGGGTTTCATATTGGCCTCACTATCGCTACGGTTATATGAAAACCCATTTCGTATGCATTACTATCAGATTATTGCTATAAAATTAAAATACAACTAGAAATTAATTAAATGTTTTATAGTTAACCCGGGAATTACTATGCGAGATCCTAGATTTATAGGAGCATGGTGGTTTGGTTTTCTAGTCATTGGCGGTCTATTATTCTTAGTCAGTCTCCCAATGTTTTTATTCCCAAAACAACTCAAAACAGCAACTGTTAAGGCCGTGGATAATGCAAACAATATCAAAGGTTTCAGTGGTCTGTTAAGCGCTACAATATATTATANTGAGTGAGCCAACACACATAAATGCCAGTGCCGTGCCATGCAAGTAGTATCTAAACTTATCCTGGTCATATATCCAACAGTTACCTGTCTTTCCACACTTCTCCTCCCATACCAAACACGTCGAGTCGACTACCGCTCCGAATATCAACGGATACGGAATGAACGCTAAAAACCATTTAAATGAAACAATTTAGTTATAAACATAATTGAACTAAAATTGATCAGGATAACGTACAAAATAGGGCCAGGAATGTGCCGATCACTCCCATCGCAAAACTCTTGTCTTTAGGATCAATAGCCCTATGAATATACCGTAGAAATCATTGAATTAGGTTTACTGTTGGAGCTGTACATTGAATACCTGAGTGTTATTAACGTGTTACCAGTCCTGGCTGTTGAAGATATAATGCCGGCCATTGTCATTACAAGTAGATACTGGGTCAGCTTATTACAATTGTCTATATCGCTCTGGCAATAGCCGGTTTTTGCCTGTCCACCATGGATACATGAACACCCGGATACTGTCTGTTTATCAAACATATTAAACATTAGTCACACTTGACCATCCAATTTAGTAAAAGTATGAGGTTATTTAGCAAAATATTTACCCCGGTAATTCTGTCTAATCTATGACAGCCGCCAAAACACGGGGAGAAATATGTGGTGGACTTGTCTACCATCGAACAAATAGGTGTAAACACACTGGTAGTGCATTCACAACCCCTGTTGCAATTGTCAGTCAATGTGTACCTGTTTATAAAAATAAATTAGTTTTCAATAAATAATAAGCCAGTTCATTCATCAATTTACTGATTATCAAAGGTGCGTGTGGTGTAATGCAGGTTTAATGGTGGACAACCGGTTAGCATACCAAACAGCATACCCCCATTATAAAACCACTCCACACAAAACATGTATATAACAAGTGTGAGGGGCCGGGGTCTAAGGTATTTAATCATAAAACCTCCTAATATGATACCGATAGCCATGGGAAGTACAG